GTACTATGAAAAGAACTGAGAAACGGCCCCAAATTCGGAAATGGGACCCCTCCTTTACCCGTTGATGTCAACATTGATGTGACTAGCGTCAGTGCTGCCTTCCTCAACGGTAAAACTCTGGTAAACGGCAAGAGTCGGACAGCGAGCGCTTACACATCGGCGGGGCGAGCGGCGCGGGTACGGCCATGCAAGGAGTTTGGGAGCATACTCATCGCTGCGAAACTCGCATCGCTGCGCACTCTCATGGTTAGATGGCCCCTATTACTTGGTTATTTCTGCCCCTCTTTTACATCTCACCTTTTAATTACCTTGCTCTCCTAACTAATTGTTACAGAAGCATGAAGGCCCACGTTATCTATCATCTACAGCTGTCGTTATGGCTGAAATTGTCAAGTTGGTGACATGTATTGTAGTACTCTTTCACAACCATGGTGAGCAATTTCTGCTTGTTTTTTTTCAATTTTTTTATCGATTATCCAGCACTTCCTCCATTTCAGGTTGGCGATGGTCTGCTTTCCAGAGCGAGATTCACACTGAGGTCATACAAAAGCGAAGTGAAACATTAAAGGTCTTTTTTGTTACAAAAATTTGTTCAGCATTTGATGTGGATGGATATTTTAGCGCAATTGCTCTTTCTACAAACGCATTGGAAGTTTTATGTAATGTCCTTATCATGTGTCCAGTCCAATGCGTCTTCTTATATGCATGAGTAGCTAATTTGAGTTCAATTCTGTCGCGTTTTCCAATTATTCTTGTTGAAGCGCGCAACTGAGTTATGCTTCTTTAGGTTGCAGTCCCTGCTGTGCTGTACGTGATTCAGAACAATCTTCTCTTCCTTGCCCTTTCAAAGCTGGATGCTGCCACATATCAGGTAAAGTTCTATTGTCACGATTTTTTATGGAGTTGTCTCTACTGTAATGAGACTACTTTTGGAAAATTTGTTATGTTCATGGACTATGTGGATTTGACTACGTTTGCTTTCAGCACAAATAATCTTCCTCAACAAGACACCTTTCAGGTAACTTATCAACTGAAGATCCTAACCACTGCATTCTTCTCTGTCACCATGCTTGGACGTTCACTCAACCGTTTGAAATGGCTCGCGCTAATCATGCTTACTGGAGGTGTTGCCCTTGTGCAGGTGAGCTAGTTCAAGTGATGTTTAACTTGTTTGCCTTTCACTTTCATCTAATGCTAGTGTTCTCTTTTTTCGCTTCCCCTGCTTCACTATTTCCTGTTCAGATGCCAGCAGGTGGCACAGCTAAGCAAACTGCTGGTGGCCACACCTCAGACAGTATTGTTGGCCTGTTGGCTGTGCTTGCAGCGTGTTTTTCGAGCGGTTTTGCTGGTGTTTATTTCGAGAAGATTTTGAAAACCACAAATGTTTCGCTCTGGATGCGCAATCTTCAACTAGGTATTTTCCGAAATCAGTATCTGAGGAGAATTGAAAAAGAATTTTATATCCACCAGCCATATCTACCATTTTCAGCATTCTTCTCCAATTTTTGGAGGATTTCTCATGTGCTGGCTTTATGATTACGAAGCTATTCAAAAAGATGGCTTCCTGCAAGGTTATAACAATATCATTTGGATTGTTGTCATGCTCCAGGTGAGTACTGGTCATGTTCTTCCATTAGCTTTACCTCGATTTGCTATTTACTGGCAGTTCTAAACAAATCGCACACACACACGCATAGACATTGTCAAATACACTTCTTAGCTTATGTGGACTGTGATTTCGCAGCTGTAGTGAAGTATGCGGACAATAATCTCTCTAACAGGTTTTGCTTGTTCTCCTCTCAACACTCTTCTCGTCATTCGCTTCGTGGTTCTTTCTTGGTGCGTTTCACACCTTCGTTGTGAGTCTTCTTTACAATTTCACGAAAAATCGATCGGTTCAAAGTTCAAAGAACACACTGTTTTGGTCTTTTGTGGGTCCACCCTCACTTCGTTGCCTCGCAGTTAAATCTCACGGGATAGCAGAAATTTTCGCGTGTCGTCCGCTGAGGTATGGGTCATTTCTTCTTCTGGACAAGGGCTATCTAAAAGTTACCACAAGCGCTGCGCGGTCGTCATCGTAGCATCCGTGGCCCTATCGCTCTTTTTCAAAGCCCCACTTCGCTAGAAAAGTGGTACCTGCATTTCTCATAGGGAAGAACGCCTACACTAGTTACAGAAATGCCCTGTCGATGCCTATCACAATGATTTGGCTTCAACCTTGCTTTCGAATTACCGCCGACCGTTTGTCACATCATAGTGTGTCTAGCTGCGGAGTTGAGCAGACCCCATAGGCGGTATTCCGAGTGGCTTCGAATATTAAGATTTTCCTAATGACACACGCCGATTCAGACAGACGCCAAGTCACGCATTTCCGGCATTCAGAATTTTGCTGTGTATTTCCGCCTCATTTTTTAAAAATTTCCCGATTCCAGAATGTTTTGCCGCTGCGCCTGACCACCTGTTTATCGTGTCACCGTTCATGGTAGCGGGTATGAACCGAAGAACTCGCCAACCGCCTCATACAGCGTAATGATCTACCTCATTCCATTCATTTTTCCAACTTGTCGTTGTCCTCATGAGTTTTTCATCTATCTTAACTATACTTTCGATAGGGAACACAAAGCAGATGAGTCCGAAGGAAATTATTTCGGCGAAATAGACTGTAGGTTCCAGTTGTAATCTTCACCACTGATTATGCCCTTGGTTGCGCTTTAATAATAAACTGCTTTTGCTTTCACCATAGCTTAAAACGCTTTTCACAGTTTCGCTGCTACAACGTTGCCTTCGCAAGGGGCTGATTGGGAAAGTTTAGGGCACTTCCTCTTATTCCGTGTGGCGTCGTAGTGGCAAAGCTGTGATATGGCTCCAGCGAGGCATTTTGGTTTTTAACCCTGGAAATATTTTCGTTGCGATCCTCGAGCATTTCCTAGTTTTTTAGAAGCTCATTGAGTTGCCGTGTGTTAGGCACGAGTGGATGTTCCCTAATCTTACGTAACCTTGTCTACTTCACCTGGCTGGCACCAGGCGGACTCAGCCGTATACTCACCTTTACAGCTATTTATTGATTGATGTCGGATCAAAGCGTTTTGGTCCGTCATTAGTGTCGCGGGGCGGCCATGGGTTTTCTGGTGTGAGGCCATATCAGGATCACAATTGTGGGACAACACTGTGCATTTTGTCTCATACCTCTACTCTCCTATGCCAAATTACTATATTGAAGTCAATAATAATGTGATCAGTATCCATCTACACATTTTATGCATAGCCTTATAACAGAAGCGGATGAAAGTGTACTAATAGATATTAAGGTTTTGTACATGGGTATTTTTGTAAGTTGAATAAATTCTTTTATAACTTGGACTTTTCGCTGACATCGCTTCAAAGGCACGGGTTGGAATCGAGTTGGTGTGTTATTTTGTTTGAAAATTTGACACGTAGCGCAATGAGGAACATCAGTGGGGAGAAAAAGCAAAAAGCCATAGAAAACACTAAATTTCCCTTAGGAGGCCGGCCGTAGTATGACGGAGAGACACAGCGCTGCGAGGAGAGGGAAAACGCGAGATAGTACGTCGTACGCGAGAGGGCGCAGACGCCACGTATGCCGCGATTGATAAGGATGGCAGCACGGCAGCACACAAGGCAAGGCCTTAGCGCCGTTGCCTCGCACTTTTGAGTCGCGACAGTGTCGCCTCCTGCGCTTGGGGACCCCTCTTTCTCACTCAAAGAGGACTGTCTCTTGACACCTAATACCGTACCGTGGCTTTAAGTTCTTGTTCAGGCGGTGAATTAGACGAGGAATTTTCCCAAGGCGAATTATTGATTGGGATAGCAAATAGCCCGAGACGAAGATGGTGCATTTGGAAACAGTTCAGACTGCATGATTACTACGGTATGAAGTAACTTCCACAGTCTTAGCTAACTTATTAGCAACATTCGACTTGTTTCTATTGGGAAAACTTTCAAATCCACATCACAAGCAAGGGTGGAGTTTGAGCTTCGCTACAAGCTTGACATGGCTTATTGGGCTCGTTGTTACGCCAATAAGTGACAGTTTGAGCTCAGTTTTAGCAAATAGCAGGAATTAGTTCTAGTTGATTCGTTCAGAAAAAATCGCCACACAGCTAACTGGACGGACAATTGCCACTTGTGTGCAGTATGTCCACTGGATTGAGGGAGAAAGCATTGGGTGTTGCGTCGCTGGAAACAGAGTGGGAACCCAGATGGTACACGGTGACACCAGTCATGTGTGGGAGATGAACAAAGGTCAATAGTTTGTCGCCTGCGGCAAATCAGCTGCAAAAACGAGGCAAATCGAGCAACAATTTGACTTGTAATGGTAGCTTGAAGGCAAGAATCAGGATTACATTGATGGGTTGATTCCACTCAAATGTGAAAGTAGGGATGAGGAGGTGGACCGCCAGTGGAGAAAAAAGGAAAGAAAATCCTGAAATACACAGGAAATACGAGCATTTTGCTCTATGCTGTGGAGAAGTTCAAAAGACAGGCAGGGAGATGAGAGATAATGTGAGCGCGGAGAGTGGTAGAGAAGTCCGAGAAGAGAGAGCATAGCAGATCAACGCAGCGACGCAGACAAGATATCGAACGGTGGGCGGACCATGTTAAGTTTGGTGGAGTCTGTTAGAAGTCCATGGCGCCTAGGGTCCTAGTGACGCGTTTCGATGTAGAAAGGTGGCGCTACTTTTGCACTTGCGTACCCAGCACTTCTAGCCATGGTAAGGGCTTCTTAGGTGGGTCTGAGCCCGAACTTTGCCTTTAAGCAGTTGACCAATGACAAAGACCGCGGAC